AGGCTTGGGCAGATAACAGTGGGTCATGGAAGAGATAATTTTTAAGAAGCAATCAATCATCCAGCCATCCAAACCTCCTTCCCAGGAAAGGAGCCAAGGAACTTGCACATTAGATATCAAGTCTAGTTGTGGGTAAAATGGGAAGAAGTATTTCTTGGTGGTTGAAAGCGCAGGACTTTGGAGATGGAGAGAAAAGGATACGGATTCCAAATCCAATACATACCAGTTGTGAGACCTTGAAAAAGTTGTTTAACAGTTATTTCCTTACCTGCAAAATGGCGTTAACACCTACTTCATAAGTCTCTTGTGTGAAATGGATTAAATAAGGGAACGTATATGAAGTGTTTAGCACAATATCTGCCATGTAGCATTCAATCAACAGGAGCTTCAGTGATGATACACATTCAAGGGTCCAAGACCAAATTTATCCCAGATTATTTCTTATTACCCAAGTTTCCAAGGCTTAGTTGGAAATGCTTTCATGTTGGATTTGGGAAACGTTAATCCATTGGCATAAATGTGCATGTGAGTAGCACTTAACTTTAAAATAATAAAAAACAATAACGACACTGGAGCCATTATAACGGCAATGAATTCATCCACACGTTCCCTGCTTTTTAAACTTGCAAAAGGGAAACCCAAACCATGGGGGATTGGAGGCCTTCGTATCGCTGTAGGATTCTGCTCTTTGAGGAAGTACATTTGCTGCCAGCCACAATGACCACCAAGAATGCAGTGAATCTGTGATTAACTATACTTCTAACACATTATTCTAAACAGGCACTTGAAATAGCCTGGAATTTCAACATGCCTGTATATCCGCTATTCCTGTATATTCCTTTGTAACCCAAAGCATAAGAGAATAACCTGATACTCATTAAATCCAGAAATAGGAGAAACAAGCACAGAGTTATCAAGGGACTTTTCTCAGCAAGGACATGAAGAGAACAGGTCAAGAACTGAAGTGAAGAGCAAGAGGCATGGAGGGACCTGGCATTAGAGCCTGGATCCTTAGTGGGGCTGGTGAGGATGTGGATTAGCCTGGGCCCCAGGTTGGCCATCATAGCCCAGGTTCTCGTGTAAGAAACTATCTCTGGAGATAAAGGCCATTGCCACACTCAATGTCCACACTGAGTCAGGGCCTTGGTTTATGAAGCCCCAGAATCTCTCTCTGAATGAGACACAGAAGGACCCCCAACATGAGTATGCAACTCCAAAAAACTCCGATAGGATCGATCAGCCATGGATGTATCCAAACTCCTGCTCACCTCTTAAAAGAGTTCCTCTGGGGTCACCCTTAAAAGGCATCTTTCAGCCTCTCATTCACCAGTTCTCATCTTGGCAGTCAGAATTTTCTACTTCCTCTAATTCCTCCTAGCTCTATTTCTAGGCTACAGAATACTCCCAAGAAGACCTCCCCTCCTTTATTCCATAAGTTATATCCCTTTAATGCCCCAAGGAGGTTCTGCAATCAATTCTTTGACACTTAAAAGAAGGACAACAAATGTTATGTAGGGTAATGTCAGAATGAAAGGAAAAGCCACCAGTCAACAGTGGATGCCAACTCTTATGGATTGAATTGTGTCCCCCCAAAACTTAGCTAGGCCACGATTCCCAGTATCATGTGACTGTCCACCATTTTGTCAACTGATGTGATTTTCCTATGAGTCAATTGCTTTTGAGATATAAAAGAGAGAAGCAAGCAGAGAGACAGGGGGACCTTATACCACCAGAAACAAGAGCAAGGAGAATAGCACGTCATTTGGACCTGGAGTCCCTGCGCTGAGAAGCTCCTAGACCACGGGAAGATTGATGACAAGGACCTTCCCCCAGAGGCAACAGGAAGAAAGCCTTCCCTTGTAGCTGGCAGCCTGAGTTCGGACTTCTAGCCTCCTAGACTGTGCGAGAATAAATTTTTCTTTGTTGAAGCCACCCACTTGTGGTATTTCTGTGATAGTAGCACTGGATAACTAAGACACCAATCTTCTCATGGTTAAGGTAGAAAGCCAATGTTAAAAATGTATGAAACTTAACTAGACAATTAAAAAAATGTTCAGAAAAACTAACAGCTATGATTTACTGAGTGCCTGCTTGGTGCTGGGCATTGTGTTAAATATTTGCAAAAATAATTTTATTTCATTTTTTACAACCCTTAGAGGTACTATTACCAATCCCACTTTATGGATGAGAATGACAAGGTCAGAGAAGTTAAGTGGGTGCTCAAGAGCACACAGCTTGGTAAGTAGCAGAGCTCAGACTTGAATTCCAATTTTCCGACCTCATAGCTCTTAATTTTAATCACTGTGCTATGACATGATGAAACGTATTGTGTCCTTGGTTCCCTGTGTCTGAAACTGAGTGGCCGTTCCTATGATAGATGTGGAAAGAGAAGGGAGTATCTACCCGTGGTCTGCTGCTGGCTCTTCCTACAGTAGCTGGACACCAAGAGCTGCCACGTAACCTCGGGTTATGGTCAAGGCCAGCTGGACCCAGAAATTTCTGAGGATGCAACATTCAACTCCTACAACAGCCTGATTCCACTTGGGTGTAGGCTGAGGACACAGTGCTCGCCCTTGGACACTCACTGACAGATGGCTACCACAGAGAAGCTCACAGCCTTGTCCTTTGGTGGACACCCTCATTCTCCTAGGACCCTTGAGCACAGTGCTCAGAATTGAGTTTGCTGGTGCATGAAGAACCTGCCACCTATCATCATGCCATCACCTACATCTGTCCAGCACTTTAATGCCCCCGTTGTCCTTGCACCACCTCTCCCTCATTGGAAACCCACAGCAGTCCAGTCAGGTAAGTCGACAAGCATTATTTGCACATTGTGGGTAAGGATCCTGGGGACCGGAGCTTACATGGTCTCCCCAAGATCATCAGCTAGTAGTGACAGAGGCAGCTAGAGCCCAGGTGACCTGTTTCTCAGCCAGAACACTTGACTTGACAACCCAATGTCCCTTTATCCCCTGTCTGTAGAAAAGGAAGAAAGTGGATTTTTTAGGGGAGGGGCAGAGGTGAGGATTGAGATGCTCTCGGGTACTGTTTTGACCAAGAAAACTAAGGATATGGAATCTGGTCCTAAAAATCAGCCAGAACCCCGATTCCCAACCCAGGAGAAAGCACACGCAACGACAAGGGCAGCGGACAGCAAAACCTGTAGGGTCAGCACGGTTCTGCTGCACTGCTTCCCAAGTCAGCACACTACACCCTGGGGACACTTTTTCTAAAAACGGTTGGGAATTCCACTTCCTTCCTCAAACAATGCAGACTGAGAATGGACCTGCTCTGGGGAGTGTAGTAGAGAGTGACTGGACTGTCCCTAAGCCTACAGAAGACTCTGCGCTCACCCCAGTATCTGCTTGCCACTGCTGGGATCTCTGTCCTCTGAGTGGGTATCAGCTTCTGAAATGATCCTTTTGCATATAGCCTTTTATTTCCACGTGTAAAAGTAACATAAGTGCATTGTAGAAAAAATCAGAAAAATACACAAGTCCATTTCACCAATAGTTATGGATTGAACTGTGTCCCCCAAAAACCTATGTTGAAGTCCTAATCCCTGGTATCTGTGAATGTGACCTGGTTTGGAAATAGGGTCTTTGAAGATGTTGTCAGTTAACAAGAGGTCATGCTGGAGTAGAGTGGGATCCAACCCCATCTAAGTGGCGTCCTTATAAAAGAGAAGAGACACAGACAGACAGAGGGAGGGCGGCCACGTAGCAATGGAGTTACACTGCAGCGGCAAGCCACCAAACACCTGGAAGAGACCAGAAAGGATCTTCTAAAGCCTCTGGGAAAAAACAAAACAAAACAAAACATGGCCTTGCTGATACCCTAAATTGGACTGTTACCCTCTAGAACCAGGAGACAATAAATTTCTGTTGTTTAAAGTCACCCAGTTTATGACACTTTGTTACCACAGTCGTAGGACACCCATACACCATCCCAAAATAATCGTTAAAGTTTTGAATTTTGTTCTATCCTGTTTCTTCACAAACATATACCCATCACGATATATGTATTTAAATCCTTAATGAGGATTCCGTGTATGTTTTCAGGTGATATCTTGAATCTTTCCCATATGACTTCTTCAAAACTCCTTTAAATGGTTGTAGAAAACTCCCTTGCAAACTTATGATGTAATTTAACCATTCCCTGTTATGGATTAAGTTGTGTACACAAATATATATGTTGGAATCCTAACTTCTATACCTGTGGATGTGATCCAGTTTGGAAACAGGGTTTTCTCTGTCATGTTAATTAGGTCATACTCATGTAGGGTGGGTTCTAAACCTAATCACTTCTGAGTTATAAAAAGAGAAGAATGAAAACATGTACATACACACATGGAGAAATGGGGGGAAACAGATACCATGTCAAGGAACCTACTGATAAGGAAGGAATCGACATGGCCAACACCCTGATTTAGATCGCCAGCCTTCAGAACCATGAGAAAACAAATTGCTGCTCTTTAAAGCCATTCACTTGTAGTACTTCTGTTACAGCAGCACTAAGTAAATAAGACACACCCCTATTGCTGACCATTTAGCAATTGATTCCACTTTAAAGATCACATCCTGCTAAAACATCTTATAAAAATCTAACTAAATTCCTCACTGTGTCCTTAGGATAGATTTCTAAAAGTCAAATTATCAGGTCCAAGAATTTACACCTTTCATGACTCCTGATTCTCAAGCTGTTCTCTGGAAAGCCAAAGCTAACTAAGGGTACTGACCTCCTCTGAGATGCCTCTGAGTCTCCCTTCCTGGTCTCCAGCCCCCAAGGGTTCATGTAGGCCTGAGGAGCTCTACTGATGAGATTGGGGCCCACCAATGTCACCCTGTTGGGGTTTAACTCCACGTCTGCTCCCACTGAGACCCCCTAAAGTTGCACAGCCCCAGGTTTGATGAGGCACAGAAATAACAAGCTCAGTGGGAAGAAAACAATCTTTGAAAGCCACAGCTCTGCACCCAGGGTGGGCAAGTGTGAACACTCACTTGATAAGTAGCAATCATTTCCCGGTTCAGGGTCTGTGTCACTGAGACGCTGCCAGTGTTCTCATTGATCCTGAAAATTCCTTTAGGGTCTTGATCCACTCCCTTCCCAGTGAGCCGGAACTTGGAACCTTCTGGTCTGTCACTATCGACTACCTGGTCAGAGAAACAAGAGCAGACATTCAAGACTCTGGCAAGAAAACACATTGTAAGCACACTCCAGTGACCTGTCCACTAATAACAGGTGCCAGCACAAAGGTGCCAGGTGAACAACGGTTTGACTAAAGCAGCATGGCCAAAAATAGCATCGCTGCTTAACACCTTTCATCCTAATATGCAGATCGTTGCAGCTTATAGCCTGGTGAGCTTACCAGCACTGGGTGAAATATAATGATGGACCTAGAAGGGCAATAGCTCCAGAAAGTTCAAGGTTGGACATTTATATTATTTTTAACTCCTGGGAAACAGACTTTTTTTTTCCCTTCCTGTAAGCAAGACCAAACAGGCAATGAAACCCATTTATTCAACAATCATATGCTGGGCAGGCATTGATTAAAGTTCTAGGTATTTACCTGTATCAAATCATTACAGAGCCACTTACCGCGCTGCTTCTACTAGGTACTAGGCATGGTGCTGCGAAATCCTTTACACACATTTTCTTCAAACCTCACAACAATGCTGGGGGCAGGGGACATTTTTTTGGTTGTTGTTAGTTTCCTTGAGTTGGCTCCAACTTATGGTGATCTTATGTATAACAGAAGGAAATGTTGCCCAGTCCCATGCCTTCTTCATGATGATTGGTATGTTTTAGTCCAGTTGCAGCTATTGTATCAGTCCATCTCATAGAAGGTTTCCTTCATTTTTGCTGACCCTCTACTTTACCAGACATGATGTTCCTTTCCAGAGATTGGTCTTTCCTGATTACGTGACCAAAGTTATGAAGTCTCGCCATACTCCCTTCTAAGGAGCATTCTGAGTGACATTACTATTCTTATTTAATGGATGGAACCACTGAGACATGGAGAGATGAAGCAAGCTGGCCATGGTCACAACTATCACCAAGATGAATAAAGGATTCAAACTCAGATCTTCTGTTTCTCTGGAGGCACTGCTGTGCTACACTGTCACTTTTAAATTAACTTAAGGGACATCTATAGATTGTCAACATTGGCTGGAAATCTGAGAATTAAATATAGAAGGTAAGGAGCAGGAAGGTAGCTCTAAGCAAGAAAACAGCACAAACAAAGGAAGGCAGACAGGCAAGGGAGAGCCCAGAAAAATCCAGAAATGGAAAGTCATTTGTGGCTTGAATAAAAATGAGGTTGAGAGGTGGCTGGGGACCAAATCATGAGGGTCTTTTTATGGCATTTGAAGACGTCCAACTAAAACAAGAGCTGTTATTTGCATAAGATGGTTCTAGAGCTTATCCCAAGTTTTCATCTATATTTAATGTCACTTTATCATCAATACCTGTGAACTCCGTTATAACAAAATCATCCTAAAGGTCATGAACACAATAGACATTCCTAGCTTTCAGGACATACAGATAAAAGAAAGCTGATGCGAATCGAGCCTTAGCCAACTTACAAATGAAAACGCATGTATCCAGACATAGTCAAGCATGCCTTGAGGTTTATGTGGCCAGTGTAGGCAATGTGTCTCCTCCCAGTATAAACCAGGATTCCCAGAGGCCATTTTTGCTGCCACCAAGCCTGCAATTCTGAAGGCTGACACCAGGTGGCAGTGATGCCTAAGACAGGATAAGCCTCATGCTAAGGTTCACCTGGTATGACCAGCTAGTTGAGTCAGAGCATCACACGGTTCCAATAGGCAATGCAGTTTTTTTCTAATTTAAAATGTTCTTTATTAAAATAAGCTGAGAGTTTTCATTAAACACTAGTTACTTCTGTTTGTATTTTTAAGATTAACAGAAAATACTCTCTAAGGCAAGATTAAAAATAAGGTATGTGATACCTTCTGATGAAAAGTTTTAATCACTGCTTTACTTGATTTAATCCAACTGACATTCTCCCCGCCTTGTCCCACTCCCCACACCTGCAGCTACTTGGAAGCTCTGCGAGATCAAGAGCAAGGCTGAAGCTCAAAACTGGATCCCACTGCCTGGTGCAGTCCCTGGCATGCAACAGAATTAACGAAGAATACCACTGTTCAGACACACATGCCTCAGTCCCAGCTTTGACAATGACCACTTGCACATGATCCTTTGTCCCTTTGTCCCTCAACTTCCTCATCTGTAAAATGGGGATAATTATTTCCAGGGTTATTGAGGATACAATGAGATAGTGTACAGAAAGGACAGCTCCTGGCACATGGAAAGCTCAAGAAATGGTAGCTAATAATGCCAATAATAATAGTAATAATCACAACAAATTATACTTTTTTGCTAATAGGTTAGATCAACACCTCCAGGGATAAAATGCATCTTAGCAATAACATAAACACTCCCTTTCTAAAAGAACAGCTTTCCTTTTTAAAAACTGCTCCCGCACCTCTCTGGTTGGAGGGAGACATGCCCTGGGAGGGGAAGGGGCAGCTGAGCAAACTCTGCTCTTTCTCACCACCGTGCTTATCATTGCTCCCCTCCTTCTTATCCTAGGGCCCTAACAAGGCCTCACCTTGTGGCCCTAAGCACGCCTGAGATAGGCGGGTCCTTCCCAAAAGGCCCCATCAACCAAAGGCAATGTGATGAGACATGAACATAGGCGACCTACAAGAGCTATGGAGCAGTCTACTTCCCGCTATCAGACTTCTGACCTGTCTGTGCCAGACCCAGGGTCCATGGTGAGGTCTTGCTGGAGATGCTTCGCAGCCTCTCTTCTCCCTCTTGACTCTTCTGCTTCCCAAGCAATGGGAGTCAGCACCCCATACCTCCTGGGAGAGTCAGGGTGGGAGACACCTGAAAGCCCCTTGGGGAACAATGGCCACCCTCCCATCCCTCCATCTGCTACTCACCCTGGACTCAGAAATTCTCCAGGGTGACTTTTCCTTCTGTAAATGCCAAGTCTGTGTCATTTCTCCCTGGCTCTCAGGGAGCTCCCACCACTTCACCTTAGCTAAGCAGGGTCCCGGACAGAGAAGCAGTTTAATTAGCACTTACAGCTAGATTTAAATGACTGATTCCCCAGGGAAGGAGGAAGTCCCGCTGTGAGCTCCTCTGCCTGGTGCTGCACAGTCCTGTCTCTCTCTGGATTTTTTTTTTTTTTCCCCTGGCTTTGAAAATATCTAAACTGTATGCTGTACAGCTAAGTCCACTTTGCAGGCACACCAAGACCACAGCCTGGAACAGCTCGTCTGGATGGATGACCCCCACAGCGCCCCAGCATGGGGTGAGGGAACCTAACTTCCAGGAAGGGAGCCCTTTCTCTTAGACCAGTGGTTCCCAAGATGTGGGCCTCCAACCACCAGCAGCAGCATTACTGGAATTTGTTAGAAATGCAAATTCTCAGGACCCACCCAGACCACCTGAATCACAAATGCTGGGGTTGGGGCCAGGCAATCTGAGCTTTAGCAAGTCCCCCCACCCCTGTCACGCCAACCCCAGGTGGTTCTGATGCACACCTGAGTGGGAGAACCTCTGCTTTAGACTGAGCGGTTAGCCCCGGAGTGCCACTGTAACTGATTCTCGTCCCCACTGCCACAGTTTGCAGCCTTCCGCTGGAAAAGGTTGGGTTTGTTTGTTTCCTTCTTTATACATCTATTACTTTTAAACTTATACCACTAAAAGGAACTCTTAAAATCTGTTTTCTAGAACCTCAGTAAAGCAGAACTGGTATTTCTCCACACCACTAGGCCGACAACAAGACAAGCTTTAAAGGCACCCAAGGAACACCGAAGGGAGGTATGGAAGTGGGCTGTCTCTCCAGGGAGAAGCCAAGAACTTGGCTCAATTCAGATTCAGGGAGAACCTCCAGTTCTTCTTACTCTCTGCCTCTCTGGCTTCTAGGTCGCCAGGTGGGGTTTCAGAGGGACTTCGGCCCACTCCAGTCTTGCTTAGCTTGGGAGACAGGAGGCGCGCAATGGCTATAAGCCCAAGGCTACCCCCCGCCACACTGCAAAACAATTGGATGCAAGTCAAGTGAGTTTCCAAACCTGTTGCTGTCGAGTCAATTCCGAATTCACAGCGACCTTATAGCAAACAAAAACCAAAAAAACAAACCTGTTGCCATCAAGTCGATTCCGACTCATATAGGACAGAGTAGAACTGCCCCCATAGGGTTTCCAAGGAGCAGCTGGCAGATTTGAACTGCTGACCTTTTGGTTACCAGCCATAGCTCTTAACCACTGAGCCACCAGGGCTTCCTCTAGTGAGCAGGTGACCTTTATTATACTAGTTAAAAAAACCAAAACCAAACCAGTTGCCATTGAGTCCACTGCAACTCATGTGGTCAGAGTGGAACTGTGCCCCATGAGGTTTTCAATGGCTGTGATCTTTCGGAAGTAGATCACCAGGGCTTTCTTCCGAGGTGCGTCTGGGTGGACTCAAATAGCCAACCTTTCAGTTACTGGCTGAGAGCTTAACCGTTTGTGCCACCCGGGGACTTATGTTAAAGTTCTAAAAATTGTCCAGCAGAGGCTGCGGTCCTTTTGTTGTTGTTTAATGTGGTGGGATGGAAGAAATCCAGAGTACTCCTTCTGGCCAGAATGAATCCCGCAGAGTCACTTAGGACTGCAGCAGCTGTTAATATCCACTGTACTGCATAGCAGGGCTTCGCAATTAGCTAGTCCTTCCTATTATTCTTGTAATTCAGCACCTCTTTTCACAGTGGGTTATTGTTTTTCACTTGTCTTCTGAGTCAGAATGGAAAAAATAGCTAATGATGAGAAAGAACTTGGACCCCAGGTGCCTGTGTCCTGGAAAAGGCACGTAAGTAGCACACAGGAATCTTGCTGGGTACCCGGGCGATGGACTTCAAGCTGCCTGAGGCGGGGGAGCAGTCAGCACACCAGCTGTGTCCTGTGGTATAGCTGAGACTGGAGCCTTCTGCACCCCAGGGGAGGCAGGTAATACTGGGGGCTGGAGGGAGGCAAAACAGTCCTGGTGGTGCAGTGGTTAAGCGCTTGGTTGCTAACTGAAAGGTCGACAGTTTGAACCCACCAGCCACTCTGTAGGAGAAAGATGTGGCAATCTGCTTCTG